AGCATGAGCTTACAGAGTTTCTTTCTGGCGCTTGTTAAAAAAACAAAACAAAGCAAAAACCCACTAAAACCCAAAGATAATATTTACCTAAGTGACGAAATACATGGTAGCCTAAAAGTCTGGTTTATTGTCAACCATGCCCTTACCTGTTCCAGTCCTTTGATCCAGTGTTTTGTGTGGTGGGAGTGGTGAAGTACTTATGCTTTCCACATCCTTAGGAGAAGTTCATATTGTGATTTAAAAGGGAACAGTAACTGGAACTGGAATAAAGAATCCTGTTCCTAGTGCACCTTCTTGCTTGTGTGAGACTTTGAGCCCAAGGAGCTTCAAAGCTGCTGGAGGTGGGGACAGTTCATTAGCAATACAACCCAGTTGGGCCTTCTCATTCTATAAATCACACTTGCATGGTTATTAGCTTATTTGGATATTCTGGTTCATAGTCAGAGTTTCCAAGTCTGAGAACAACAAACTCTGAGATGCTTCACTGCTTGATTATTTAAAACCCGGCACCACCTACTGTGTTGTACAGAGTGAGTCTTGGCAGTTCCACCGTGTCTTTAAATTGCATCCAAAGTCTCTACACAAGCAAAATAAAAATAGAAAATCTTTGTTTTGTTTTGTGTTGTTTTTTCAGGGTCTAGCAGAAGTTGAGCTTCCTCTTTGGTGCTGGCTGCAGCCATTTGCTTGAAGAGGTGCATTTGCTTAACTATAAGTTTCCTGCAATCACCAGGAGAGGGAAACACAGGCTTGAAGGACTCACAGATGACATGACCAAATGCTTCCTCTAAACCAGGGCTTGCTGCATTTCTTTAGGATTCAATTAATAGTTTGTTGTTGGGGTCAGTGGGTTTATAAATTTACTTGCTATATTTTTTGTTGATAGACACTCATTACAAGGGCATTATAAGCTTTATGTGGTTTTGTTGGTTTTAATATCCAACTGCAGGAATGTTTTAAAATTGCTTTTATTCAGTAATTTTATTGTTGATTTGCATATTCCTTTAGAAAAAAATACTCTCTTTAGCTATAGTAGTATTGGATCTTGGTTACATTAGTCTTGTACAAGCACGGTATACAATGAGCTCATGGATGTTGTATATCTTGCCAAAATGCCTTAGTACCAAAAAAACCTAAATCTCTTTTCTTTTTTCCCCTTGGACATTTGATGTGCCTTAAATCAATATAAGTAAAATTCTAAGAAAGAAGAAAAATATTTCCTGACAACAGACTTTACTTCATATGGCAAAATGTCTGCTGGTTAAATGTACCTGTCAGGTATTCTTTAAAATCACTAATGAATATTTGACCCCTTTCTATACATTTCTGAAAGCCTTTACTTAGATGTTGCTTTTACTAAAGTTCAATGGTCCGTCAGCTAAAATGTTTAAAGCTGTTTCGACACCTGAGCAAAAATTATTTTAGCATCCAACAGTGCTTTCTAATTTATCAGTTTTGAGTACCTTAGTGATAGAATTGTGTGCAGTTAATCACAAACCAGCCTAGCAATAGAATTGTTGGAATTGAAAACTTCTGCCAAGGAAGTAAATAATTTGTGGAAACTCCCACTTTCAGTACCTATATATATTTGGGGAAATTCCCTTTGCAGCTGTCTGCAGGAACAGGGTCTTGGCAATCATGCTTGTACTTCTGCTAGTTACATATTTTTTTTGCCTATGTTCTATTTTAAATTGTTCTACAAGCACTGATGAAAGAGCAGTTAATCATAGCCATAGGGGCATTTACAGTCTTTTGTATGAGAACCTTGTATATAAATAACAATTAAAAAGAAAAAAGAATGTGTTCATCTATTTTCAGTAGTAAATAGAAATTGAGTGTTGATAATGTATCTGAATTTATATAAAAAAGAAACAAAAGGCAGCAAATTATCTTTAGGACTTGCCTTATACTTTCAGTGTTGTTTGTACTAAATGTTACTGTTGTGATCTAACTGGCATAGACTTGACCCAGTTAACTCCCTGGGTGAATGCTTCCATACAGTTTTGAGGGGCCTTTTGATTCAGTAGAAATCCATTAAACTTGAAAAGCTACCATAACAGAATTGCCAGCTTTGGAAATTTTGCTGGAACAACTGTACAGATCTTAATTCAGTCCTTGTTTCATAGAACCATTTAGGGTGGAGAAGACCTCTAAGATCATTGAGTTTTAACTTTCAGCCTAGCACCAACACCTGTTCAGCACTAAACCCTGTCCCCAAGTGCCACATCCACATTCTTTAAATACCTCCAGGGATGGTGACTCTACCACTTCTCTGGGCAGCCCATTCCAATGCTTGACAACCCTTTCTGTGAAGAATTCTTTCCAAATATCCAACCTAAATCTCCCCTGGCACAACTTGGGGCTGTTTCCTCCCATCCTGAGAGAAGGGACTGACCCTCCCCTGGCTACGACCTCCTGAAAGGGAATTGGAGGCAGTGAGAAGTCTCCTGTGAGCCTCCTTTTCTCCAGGCTAAACAGATCCAGCTCCCTCAGCTGCTTCTCACAGGATTTGTGCTCCAGACCCTTCCCCAGCTCTTTTCCTTTCTCTGGACATGCTCCAGCCCCCCAGGGTCTTCTTGGAGTGAAGGGCCTACAATACATTAATATAGAGTCTTGCATTATTTCTCAAAGCTGGCTGGTGTAAATGAATCTGTTAAATAATTATGTTCTTATATTGAGAGTTTGCAGATGGTTCTCATCTTCCAGCTTCTCAGTCCAATTTGGGTTTTTAGAAGCTATGCATATACTGCAAGTACTTTGTGGCTGTACTTTGATTTATAGATGTTTGAGCAATACATGACGTTAACTGTATCTCAAAATCAAAGTCATGCTATTATCTTCTAGGATGTGTGCCAAAGTGTTTGATGAAACAGTCAGGAAAAGTTACAACTTTGTTTTAAAATTGATATGCTCATTCTCTGAGATATGGCTTATTTATTGCAGACCAATGCTGGCTGACTTTTTCGTGAAAGTTCCAAGCCAACAATATGTCTATAGATGTTCAGAACCTAAGAGCTACTGGGATGTAAGTAGAAACTTGGAAGCTTTCTGACTTTAAGTGTTTCTTGGGTTTTGATTTAATATATGTTATCAAGACTTCAGCTACCTATTTTAAGTATATGTAATAAATAAGTAAACATATTATTAGGACTTCTTCATATCTTCTGAAGTAAGCTGAAGGAAGAGATGATGGTTGAACTTTAAAGTATAGGAGTCCTTCTGAGATTGAAAGAGGATTTTTAGAAGTTGTGGCCTCATTTCTTTTCCTTGTTGCTGATTTCTCTTTTTCTTTTTTGTGAAGAATATAGTTCACCCAGCAGAAGTAATTCTGATGCATGGTTATTTGTATTTTCACACGATTGCTTTAATAGATGAAGGATTCAGGCGAGTAATTTACACTTGCTCTTTTGCAATCTGCAGTTATGAAGCATGCAGCTGACAAATATATTATCTCTCAATACAATGGCTGTGTTTCCACTGTCATCTAGAAACTTGAGACTAAACTAGTTTGGTAGAATTAATAAAATAATAAAAGTTCTAATAATCTACTCCTGACTCAAACTTAGGACATGTTCTGCTAATCCCTTACTTTCTTAATGCCTTATTATACTGTAGGTTTCTGTGGAAATACATAGTGCATGAAACCTTACATTATTCTGAGTGGAACTTAAATACTGAGCTAACGTGCTGCAGCTGAAGGAAAGTGTTTTTCATGCTATTTAAATTTTTTTTAGTGCTTTGTTAATTTTTCTGCCTTGCCTGTTGCTGTGGTCTTCTCGTGCTGCTTTTATTTGCAGTCCATTCTTGCAGTTTCCTGTAAATTTGTCAGCAAGAGGAAGTGCTCCTGCTGCAGACACAGCTCAGCCCTGTGGTGAGACAAGTGAATTTATACCAGCAAGGACAGCATTCTGCCAGATGTTTGTGCCCTCACATCCCATTAACTAATGATAAGTAGGATTGCTTTTGACTGCCAGCAAGAGCTGTCTCTTGTCTGACAATGGCAGAAAAGATTGGCTGACTTCCTCAGGCAGCAGTCCTGCTGGAATGAAATCCAAGTGTTGGTTCCAGATGCTTAGGTTCTTCCTTTAAAGGCTGAGTGATACCTTATAACATTAAAGAAATTGAGTATCTCTTTTGGAATGAAAATCTCCCTAGGCTAGTTTGGTGCAAGGCTGCTTCTCACCACTGATTTTTGTGGGGACAAATGAAGATTAATCTGAAAACCTTATACCAAAAGTTCATGCATAACAGAATTTTGCTTTGTGAAGGAGGGTATGTTTAATACTCTTTCACTTCCCTGGCAGACATGTCAATCAAATCCATAAAGTTTTAATGTATTTTCAGATTCCTTATTTGCAGTTTTGAGATCCAATCCTTCTGGTGAATGTTTGGTCCAGAAAGCTAAACTGGATTTTCAGTCTCCCAAAACCATGAAACTTCTAAACTTTGGTTGTTCCTTGGTGGAATATCTGCTTTTGTGCGTGTGAAATATCTGGGACCATCTTAATAGTGTTGGAAATCACCAGAGAAGTTGAAATGGGATCTTGGAACTTGAAATGAAAAATCCTGCTACATCTGTGAGTACTAAAATGAAGAAAGAGAGAGGACAGCATGAGAAAGGTTAGAGAGGAAAGGCAGTACCTCAGGTACATGTGCTGGTTACAGTAGGCATGCTTTAATGAGACTGATGAAGCCAAAGAGCATGGTACTGTAAGTTGTGGAGTTTGGAGGGGAAAACCAGGAGTTAGGTGTGTCATGTCAGAAAAGGGAAAGAGGAACTGAAGGGTTTTTTCCAGTGTTACGTATACTTAAGTGCTGTCTTTCTAAATCTAGTTTCTTTACTAAGTTGGAGAAATAGCTTGCAAAATATGCTAATGCAGGCTTAGAAAAATATGCTTAGATAACAGAACTCAGGGAGGAAAGATTGTTTTAGAACAGTGTGCCTTAAATGGGTAATTGATATTTTAGCAAATAAAACAAGGAATTTAATTCAAAAACCACTGAGCTGAGTCCTCTGTAATTATTTTCTGTGTGAAAAATCTGTCAAGCCACTGAGAACTGGATATTGAAGAGCACTGGGATCTTGTGTTCTGATATGCTGATTTTTTTGGCTAACAACAGGTGTGTGTGGTATTTATGGTTCAATTTCCTTTCCTATGGAGCCTGGCAATGGAAGGAGTGCAAATGGGTGCCCTATGGTGAGAGAACTGTTTTTGTAGCCCATACAGCCATGAGCAGTATGTGAAATGTTACTTTCTTTTGTGCTTTGACTGTTGAGCAGTTTACAAAAATAGATGTTGTATGGAGACTTCTTCCTTCTATTTTGGGGTACAGATTCATGTCTGTTTCCCCAAAAATATGTGAAGTAAATTTTGTATGACATCCTTATATATGTTTTGTCCATCATTCTGAAACTTGCTAGATGGTTTTGCCTCATTCAAACTTTTGAGTCTGGAATGTTGCTTAAATCTAGACAAGTCAGTGAAACACTTGAATCCTTTTAACAACTCTAGAGGAAAATAAGTGTAAAACAATGGCATTTATTCACCATCAGTTGGTGACCCTTGTGAACGATTGTGCACTGTCAGCCTCTTGAATTAGAATTTATTGTTTTTTGTGGTTTGTGTAGCATCAAACATATCGGCAAGACTTGCTCTAAAGCATGTCTATGCTGCAGAATTTTTCAGAATGGCTATTTTGATTGGCTTGGCTTGAAGAGGGAAAGACAAGCTCCAGCTTGGAGCTGTGGGGGAGAAAACAGATTAAATACTTACAGTTCTGTGGTGCAGTGCAAGTACCTGAGGCACAGGAGGCTCTTCAGGAGCACAGGCAACATTTCTGAGCTGTGCCTCTGCCGGTGTGGGAGCTGGAGTACACTGAGAGAAAAAAGAATTTTTTCTCCCATGGGAAAGTGCTTGATTGAAAGGTGAGTAGGAAGAAAGTGAGCACTGGAAAATCCCCTCTGCTTTCTAGCTCGGTGTCTGCCAGAGCCAGACGTTTGAGCTGTGCGGGAATTGATTTATAACCTCTCGGGGAAGCTGGGAAATCTGACAAAGATAGTGCTGCCCACTAACAGTGGGGGAAACAGGAAGTAACAAAGGAAACAAGTCATTGCCTCGGCGTCACTTTTGGCCACAGTGCAGTGCAGATGCACAAGCAGTTGGGGCAGGGTTTCTTTTCCTTTCGTGTGTTGAGCAGACAGCGGCCACAGCTGTGGCTTTCAAGCTGGGAGTACCCAAACGTGAGAGCAGTGCAGAAATGTTCCTGCCATGCCTGAGAGGGGTCATAAACTGTTAATGGCTTTGTCATCACAAAGGAAACAATCACTCGGTGAAGCTGTCAGCAGAAAAACGATGTGTCGATCGGACAGGGTCACCAGGTCAGTGCTTTTTGTGGCTCCTATTTCTGTCATCTTTTCTCCTTCAGGTAGAGAGCTGACTGCAACTAAGAGTAGAATATGGCATCTGGGCTCAAATACTTTTGGCTCATGCAGAAAATTAAATGATAAAGAATTGGAGGGGGAAGAGATGAGTTGGGTGTTGGTTGAAAACTTGTCAGGAAAAAGCAAGTTGAAGCAAGTTAGAGAGTAAATTTACTTATGCAGTGTATCTCAGCCAGGCTTATTTCTCTGTTCCCTTTGTCTTGTAAGATTTATTTTTTTTTTACTCTAGCTGTTTGTACCGTGCTATTAATCTTTCTGAGAGAGTATTGTGAAAGGGGCTGTTAGAGGTATTAAGAAATGGAATGTGTAACCAAAAAAAAATAGGAGAGATATGGAAAAGTATTTCAGAAGTACCGGAGAATTGTTACTAAATGGGCAAGAGACCTGATAATTCTGCAGAAAGCAGTTTTACGAACAGATGGTAAATGTTCAGATGGTTGAATCAGAGAGATAATCCTAACTCCAAATTGCTGAGAGCATATAGGGGAAACTTCTCCTGTTCTGCAGTGTGTAATGCTGCTTAATTTTTGGTAAAGCCTGATACTTCAGTCTCACTCTGCATAATTTAAGGAATACATTCATTTCTGTAAATTATGTGTTATATGTGTCATGTTATTTGTAGGTTATATATTCAGAAGTAAACTAGCATCTGGCTTAGCTAGGTTTTACTTCCAAGTAAAACTTAAAGGCTAGAGGTTATGAGATTACAGTTTTAAAAGTTCTCAGATGTAATTGGTGTAGAGAGCGTTGTTACACATTCAGATCAGGTTTACTTTTTGTGCTGCAGCTTTGCAGTTTTTTTGTTTTTCCAGCATGACCAAATGGGGCCAGATCATAAATATTATTATAACAAATGAGAACTTTTAAAACAGCTACTGGCAGCTATAGTCTCAGAGATGAGGGTAATACTTTTTTTTGCCTATATACTGCAAGATGTGGAGATGATCACATTGCCATAATTTCCACTGAAGTTAAGCAAGAGCTGAGGACTCTTCCAGGATGCAATCCTTAATTGAATCAACTTGCATTTGCTCTAATTGGGCTGAATGCCAATAGCTCTTTGGGCCAAGAGGGGGTAAGTGTTCTTCTATAATGTAATCCAGATTTTTAATGTGGCAGAATTTTACTTTTACTCATGGAGGGACTTTTAGCCTGTAAAATCATGCCCTAGCCTTCAATCTAGTTATTCTCTATCCACTGATTGAGGGGATAGATTAAAATGCTTCATAGATGTATACATATACATGCTACACAATACCAGAAATCTACTGTCCATTCAGAGTTTGAGCTTGGTAGCAGTATTATGATTCAGAAAACACTTCTGTATCTGATTGGCCTTATCTTGGTTACAGGATGAAGTGTGTAAATTCACTTTTTTTCATGCTGTTTAACTTTTAGGGTACTTTGAAATAAAAAGTGGCTCGTTGTGATAGTGTTTGAGAAAAGTATACTCACGTGATAGACTTGGGCTGACTTTATTGATACATTAGCAATACAATGCAATTCGGTTTGGTTTTCAGCCTGACAGACCAGACAGTTTGTATATAAGTAGTTACAATAGTGATTGTATAAGCTCTGTATCGTGCTCCAGAGTGCTGATTCCATCGTTCTGTCTTTCCAAAAGCACTCTTGAACAATGAAACACATCCTAGAAACTGCTGTTCTACTATTTCTCCTACTCCACTCCAAGGCCTTTCGTCTCCCTCACAGACATAGAATTGTCACAGGCATCACCTGAGAAACAAAGTGATGCAAGATCTTTCCCTGACTGCTACCATCCTCTTCTTGTTCAGAGGGTTCCATTCAGATTAATTCAATAGCCACATGCAGTGGGTTTGGGACTTGGTGGAAAAATTGATTAAAGGATATGCATCTAGTTCCTTGGTGAAAGGGAAAAGGAATGAAGTGTGCAGCTATTACTAGAAGCTTTTGCCAAACAATGCTTGGGGGATGTTGCCTTGTGTTTGTGACAGAAGACCAGTGTCAGAAGGAGCTTTGGCTGCACTGAATGAGCCCTTTCTGTTCACTTGGTTGTCAGCCTTGTGGAAGGGACTCTCCTATGCACCAGAGGTGAAAATGTATAAGGGGGCTTTGGCTCGTAGTGTAAGAATGTAACTGCATAAGAAACAACTGGGAAATATCCCTCTGGTCTCAGTAATGCCAAAGTTAACAGGCCCTGCACTGACTTCAGTGACTGCTATGGTGTGTACCTGCTAATGCAACATCCTTCTGTTCTGGATGAAATGTGTTAAAGTTACAACAGGAATATTAAGAGTTGAAGGAACCGTTCAGTGAGCTAAAGGCAACCATACTGTAGATGTTAAGACCTCAAAAATCTTTGAGCTTCCATTTTTTCCTTCTTCTCTTCCACCCCTACAGTAAAGATTCTGAAGTTAGATTTGTTTTGACAGCTTTCTCCCAGCAATGTGATGCAAAAGAGCAACATCTGTCCTTACAGAGCTGTTTTCTACAGTCAAGAAAAGATGAAAAATCTGTCTGGGACAAGAATCAAAGTACTTATATGCATTTTAGCAGCCTAAACTTAAAGATTTCAATTCAGAATACTGAAGTCTTCCCTAAGTGTCTGCTATGTGCCTGCAAATGAAAGTGCTTGAGAAGTGTACAGACGTGATGGGGAGTGTTATAACCCACACTGAAATCCAGATAATAGGCTTAGCTGTCTCTAAGTCTGCTGAAAAGCCTGGTGCATTAGGTGGGCTCCTTAGTTCATGTAATATGTACTTGGTGGCATGGATTTCAGCTGTGTCTCCTTTTACTCACTTCTTTTTATTCACTTAACTGGGCTGGGGAAGTTCTAAGTTTTGGTCTCTATTTTCAGGACTTTCATAGTAAGTAGCCAAAAGTAAGAAATTATTGTGGAAAGGAGAAGCAGAACCTGATACTCTGTTGTCCTTTCCTGTCAGTGAAATCCTGTAATCGTCACACTGTAGAACTGGATTATTTCTTTTTCCCCTACTTGCTCCTCTGCTTTCATATTTTTTCTTTCCTGTCTGCCTTAAGATCTGGCTTTTCAGGTAGAGGAGATGAAGCCCATCCAGACATGCTTTAGAGAGTAGTCTGACTGGTACACTCCCCTATAGAAGGCAAACATGACTGGGACAAATATTTCTGCTTTCTGTATTTACCTAGGGTAGCCTAGACTTACTGCCAGTGTTTGACTTTGGCTTCCTAGAATTTTCAACTTACTGGTTGTTTTGGATACCCTCTCTGAGACATTTAACTCTGCATTTTCTGATAGGTTTTCAGCCTACATACAGAACACTGAAACAGTTTCACACCATGGACTGGGTGCCTCAGTCCTTTCTTCTGTTCTTTGTAGTAAAGGTACAGAGGATTGGAAAAACCTAAGATGAACTTGAAAACATTGGATGGCATTGGGACTAATGTTGGAAAAGTAGCATCAAAGTATATTTATCTGAATGAAAAGGTTTCATTTTTACTTAGTCTATTTTCTGAACATAACTAGAAACAGACTGTAGTAACTTAAGTTCTAATGTTTAAATATTGATGTGCATATTCTTAAAAGACTAAGCCCAGGACTTGCCTTTGCAATCCTTATTTCAAGGAAATCACTCTTAGCACTATTGATGTGGTTTGACATCAGCAGCCAGCTGGGTAACACTCTCCATTTCCCTCACTTCAACTTTTCTGCGAGATATGGAGAAATAATTTGAAGAATGTAGGGGGGATGTTACTTTCTGCTACTATTTTAAAATTTTTATTCTTAAAATCTTAAAAGGCATGAGTAGCCCCTTTTTGGACACACTGCTGTTGCTAGAAATTTTGTTGTGGAGGAGGAGGAAATAACTCAGCTTGGAAAGATCTCAGTCATTTAATAAGAACAGGGAGAAAACAGCAGAAGGAAGGATATAGCTGAGTAGAACAAAAGCAATTTACCTTTTGGTGAGCAGGGAGGTCCTGGGGGAAAATGGGGATACCATGGTGTCTTGATGTGTCTGCTATGAGAGCCTTTTTAGGGCCTTGGATCCTGTGTTCTCTGGCTGTACCTGCTTCATAACACTGGGGACCAAAACCTAATTTTTGTGACTAAGTCTTTTAGGCTGCCTAGAGAATTTAATTTAGTTTAAACTCTCCTAGTAGAAGTTGTTAGGAATTTCCACCCTTTCCTGCACATGCTTCATCAGCAAACAGCAGTTAGATCTAAATCCTAAACTGATCACTTCAAGATCCACTGCCTTGCATTTCTGTTTTTCCTAACCCATACAGTGGAGACATACTTTGCTAAAACAAATCTGAAACACTTCCTTTTTCTTTTCAGAATGGGAAAAGCCATTTTAGGTTGGAGGGGCAAGTGCTTGGGTAGGGTGTTATGCTGGGGCTCTTGGATTCTGTGCTGAGCCTCAGAGTTTAGCTTACTGTCCCTTTGGAGTAAAGGAGGAATGAACAAGATCCATTAAATTTCAGTCCTTCATTGGAAGCTTATCAGTTCTAAACCATCATTCTTTTATCAGAAATTAGTTAACTGGAACTTCAGTAGTTTGCCTTTTACCAGCAAAGGTCTCTAGCCTTACACTTGATGATAACAAACCCTTTTATGTCTAGGTCAAAATTCCCATTCTATCCATGCATGATTTCTTTTCTCTGTGACAGAGTACGATTTTTAAGCCCAGTTCTGTTAGCAGTTGAAGAAAGAAAGGACTCATAATGATCTATCAGAATAAGCTGCTACCTCAGAAACAAATCTTTTTGGTTTAAGATGACAGCAGGAAGAGTACTAACTGCAGAGATGCTTGGTGGAGCATTACATAAATAATTGATATATAAATTAAATGGAAGCCTGCAGAAATCTGAGAGGAACTTCATTTGCACAGGATGCTGTCACATGTAACATCCAGTATGAGATTATATACGAATTCTTTAATTAGGAGTTAAAAAATAAAACATGTAAATATCAGGAGTAAGTAGTATTGGATGCTGCAGTTACTAATCTTTGGCTTGATTCCCTTGTACTGAAAATTGTATTTTCTGTCTATACATGTGCCATGTAGCGCTTGGGAGAAGAAACCAATTTTCTTTCCAGTCACCTGCTTGATTAAGTCTTGCACTGCTATCTGGAGTATTTTTAAAGCATAAATACTTAAGTAACATTTACTAAGCACTTTTCCTTTGTTTCAACAGCTGTCAGTCACTTTTGAGAGCTGTATAAAAATAAATCGGGGCTTTTTGCACTACATTTTTTTTATACATTACAAAGTTCCTGGAATCTTTGAACACCCAGTCTGTGTTACATTCTTGAGTGCTGAACCACATTAGTTGTTTGGAAAGCTTGTTTAAGGAAACAAGCTTTGCTTCGCAGTACTCATTCCTTAAAGTAAAATCTGAGTTTTAAACTGTTTTAAATTATCTAAATTGCAGAATGATGGCCTCGCAGGAGCAGGTCTGGCCAGTCCCAATGAAGGCAATTGGAGCACAAAACCTTCTGACAATGCCTGGAGGAGTCACCAAGGCAGGGTATCTTCATAAAAAAGGAGGCACCCAGCTGCAGATCCTGAAGTGTAAGTTGAATGAGGTATTAACTAAATTAAATGTTTTTAAATGCTTGCCTTTGGGGCTAGTAACATATTTAATGTTAGCCAACTGTTGAAGCTGTTTTTCCACTTTGTACTGGAATATCTATATGAAAGACTCATATTGAAAGATTTTCCTTTAATTGTCTTGCAACTGTAAAACTTAAATAGATTTTAAAAGATAATAGATATTGTGGTTGATTTTATTTTGCTTGTTTAGTTCTCTTGTCAGGTCCTTCACAAGTAAGATTTTCAAGACAAACAGATTCCCAGGATATGTATCAATTTCAACCACTCTTTTCTGAAAGAAATTAGTACTCAGATTTTTTTTTTCCAGTTGGTTATTTTGTACTGGAAAAAATATCCCCATCTCCTAGTCTTGTTGTGAAATGGAAATTTTCTCACTGCCAACACTGGGCTGTATTTAATAACAGTAATTTCTTCTGAAATCAGAATTTATTTACATGGGGAAAAGTTCTGATTTTGGGTTTATTTATATGTTATTCATTTGGTATCCCTGTTTATACTGAAACTATACTTAAATAGTTAAGGACAAACACTACTGTCTTTGATAAAGGAAGGAGTCTTGGCCTCTTTCAAAAAAAGAAAACAGGATATAATTTTACTGGCAGGATTATGTACTTGAGGTGGAAGAAAAGAGGGAGGTAATGTTTTTGGGATGGATGTAAATATGTATTTGTATCCTGTGGCTGCCTTCCTGCTATTGTTTATTCCACTAATACAGGAGCACAGGTGGAGGTCAGGCCTGCAGTCTCTGAGGCTTCTTTTGAAGTTTTCAAATCAGCTGCCTTTCAAGTGAGGGAATCAAATATTACCTTTAGTCCTGAAATTCTGCAAATGGACAGCTTCACTGTGTGACTGATCATAACTAGTTTGTGCTCATTTACAGTAATTCATATGATTACTAAAATCTTAAACAACAATTCTAAACATGCTAAGAGGTTCTAGTTGTTTTGCTGCCTTTGGATTTATATTTTGCTTACTTTTTGTCTTTTCAGGGCCACTGAGATTTGTGATTATCCATGAGGGATGTATCTACTATTTTAAGACCAGCACATCTGCATCTCCCCAGGGTGCATTTTCTTTGAAAGGTTACAACAGGTAAGTGCCAACGAAGTTGTTTAACACCCAAGCTCCTTTTACTTAATTCTAGGGGCTATAGGTTTCATTTTTAATGAAGTTTAACACAGCTACATTTGTTGTTTGGGTTAAGCATTGATCTCATATCAACCAAGAAATGTATTCCTTTCAAATTGGACCTATGACATTTCCTGTACTTGAATAGCCTTCTTCTTCTGTAATTTAACCAGTAAAGCTGTTTGAATTGGAATTGCCTTACTCCTGTTAGTGATTAATGCACACTGTACATAGAGATAGATGTGGATTCTTTCAGACAAACCATCTTTGTTCAGTGACCAGAAAGGAATCAGAAGAGAAAATTTATGGAGTTACTGGTTCAGCAACTGTAGTTAGTGTCGAAACAGTATCAACTACAGAGTGCTAAATGAGAGAATGCACGTGCAAAGTATCTGACTCATTTCACTACACATTTTAATCTTAATATTTACTTTGCAAGTTGAAGACAGAAATATGTGGCTTTCAAGTTAGCCAGTACTGTCAGAAGCTGAGTGCAGAGTAAGTACAAGGCCTGGTAATACAAGTCCAACCTTACTTTAGGGAATTGCAGTTGAAATTGATGCTAAGAGAGAGGGAATGTAGAGAAATATCGTTGTATTGATCCTAACCACTGCAATATTATTGTATTTGTATATGTATATCTTGTACTGTATAATGTTCTTAGACTTGTGGAATAAGGAATTACCTTTTCTTTAATTATGAGAGCTTTTCTAACAGAGCATGACAATGGCATATTTTTAAGGGAATGCACTTGTCAACATTGTAGCTAGTTAAAAATTCAAGGTTTTTGTAGAAGAAACCCACCATTTTGTCATGACGTGAGCTTCTGCTATCCCTATTAATGTGAACAATACCATGGAATCTGTAAATGCTTGAGACCGTTCATTCCTTTTTATGTATCTTCATTGTAGCAGCCTTGTAGAGACCTTGTCAGAATAGGGACCAGGTCCTGATTAGTATAAGGCACAGACAAGCATTATTGAAAAAGAATTTGAAGTGAGAGTACTGTTAGACTGAGTAGTTGCATAAGGAGTTTTTAAATTTTTCTCCCCCCTAGGAGTCCCAAATGAAGAAATTCCTTACACACACAAAAAAGACAGCAGTTAAGTTATGCTTTTTTTGAATAATAAAAAATGTACAAGAGTGTTTATAAGGGAAATGTGTAAAAATTAAGTTTACCTTTAGTATTAGTTTTTCCTTATTTTCATAGGAAATGTTTTGATTTCTCCTCTGAAATAGTGACTTCTTGAAATAAAGGCCACAAGCATCCCGAGTATCTCTTGCAGTGTGTGACACTTAGGAATTAATGTGATTCATTAACTCTTGAACAGGTCATAGCAGCTGTTTATAAAAGTCTGGCTGGTGGATTAACAAGTGCTCTTCCTTTTGCATTGTCCCTTCTGCCACAATAATGGAGAATTACTGCAAATGCACATATGGAGATTTCTGTGGTGATTTTCAGGGCTTGGAGGTTATTTTTCATAAGGCAAAACTGGGCAGTAAAACTGCTTTCTGTCAGTGTTTATGACTTGCACAGCAGCATTGCCTATAGGTTAAGGCATTTCTGTATTGGTTGTTCTGTTTCTCAGGGTTATGCGAGCAGCTGAGGAGACAACATCAAGCAATGTGTTTCCTTTCAAGTTAGTTCACATAAGCAAGAAGCACAGAACGTGGTTTTTTTCAGCTTCTTCTGAAGATGAAAGAAAGGTAACTTTCTTCTTTTGCAATAGCATTTTCCTTGAAGCAAAAAGTGAATCTTGGACTTCCCTAAAATCTAAACGAACTGGAAATGCAGCTGTCACTGAAATTTGTAGACCTAGTTCTTTGGGCTCCTCTGAAAATCATGTCTGAAGCTTTAACTATTTAGTGTTAATTCAACTTGTAATTTAGGGAATGGCTGTGACATACTATATGGCATGGATTTCTTAATATTTCATAAATATTCCGTATTTATTTTTCACTAAGGAAAAAGTAATGATACATTGAGCCTTTGATAAATTGAGAAAACTGTTCAATGAAATCTCTCACCCATAAACATACTCTGAATATATATCTGGCTTTAGGGATAACAGCCTGAAATTTGCAAACTGAAAATTAATACTTCAGTATGTTCCTACAGTATGTTAGAGTCAAAACATTTGACTGCTGAGTCTTTTCAATAAAAAATCATGGATAAATACTATTTCAATGTATGTTCCCTGCACAGTTACTCTGTTCTTACAGAGGACAAGATACATCTGACTTAACGATTTAAATACTGATGTGTTGAATGTTGTATTTTTATTTTTGTTTAGAATTGGATGCTATCCTTGAGAAGAGAAATTAGTCACTACCATGACAAGAAAGAAACGTTAATAGAATTCAGGTATAAACCCTTATTCGTTATTGTCTTTTTATCCCTTTTGCACTTGCTCTTTACAGTGGTGTTTTAGGCTTTTTTGCCCCTACAATTAACTTTCTGTTAAATAAGAGGCACAGTAAGACTCAAGAAGAAAAGCTCTTCCCAGTTTATACTTTAAATAATATGAAGAAAAACCAAATCTTTAAACAAAGAGCACTTTCAATATCAGCTTTGTGTAAAAGAAATGAAATCTTTTAAAAGTCAGCAGCAACATATCTGACTGTTAATTGGGAAATAGGAACAGATTGTTTCTGCTTGTCCAGCATTCCTTTCTAGTGCTGCAGTCCTGCTAAACAGAAGTAACTCTGTCTTTTCTTTTGCAGTGACTCTGGTTCTGATGCAGACAGTTTCTATGGCTCAGTAGAACGTCCCATTGACATCAAGTATTCCCATCATTCAGCAGATAATGAAGGTGACAGATTTGGATACTCATAAATAAGGCTTCTTTGTTGCTTATTTATTTCTTCTGAATTCTGCAGGAATTATTCCTGTAGCTTAAGTAAACTGATCCAATTGGTAATTGGTGGGTTTTTTTACCAGGTGTGGTCTCTGTAGTTTTAAATCAGCAACAGGTATTCTGAGCCATTAACTGTTTTTACAAATAAACTAAAGGATTTCAGATCTTTTAAGAAGGTTAATTAAAAGTGAGGACATGACAGAAATTCACATGTGAATGAGGACATTCACAGCATATTTCAGCAACTGAGTTCCTAGTCAAGAAATATGTTTGTGAAAACAAACATGAGAAACCTTGCCTTGAGGCTCAGCAGAGATCCTTTTCTAGGCCTTTCCCTGTCTGCCCTTCCAGATTTCTGAGGGCAATGTTGATGGGAGCAAGTACTCATTTCCTGAAAGGAAATTCCTGACTGTTCTTCCTGCCTGGGACGAAAAGGCAGGAATGGGTCTTGTTAGGAAATCCGGTTCCATTGCTGCAGGCAGAGGAGAACAAACTCATCAGCATTTCATGTGGGGCTGTAGTTTAGTCCTTCTGATTTATGGGAGGGGAGGGTTGTATGCAAGGTCAATGATGGCAAGAGGCCTAGTAGGAGTTTAAACTAGGAAAATTAGAATAACTGATTTTTATCAGATACTCTTAGCTATTTTTAGGGTATTCCTCTGCATATTGTCCTTCAGGCTCCTCTTATAATTGATGAGAAATTACTGCCTAGAATTAACTTTTTTTGTGGGTTGGCTATTCTGATTTACAGTTAAAACCAACATTGAAACCACTTAAGCCATTTGTTGTGGTGCTTTTTTCTTTTGTTGTTTCTAGAGCAAGGCAAAAGAATTAAAATTTTGTAGATCACTAAGCTTGTTTAATCTTCCATATTGCAAAATCATAAATTTTTCTGTGGTAGGCTTAAATTCTCGGGGCTATGTTTTTTTTCAAGTGCTTTTGTTAATACATCCATGTAGTTGTATGTCTGGAACTGATTTGAACTTCTCTCAGGAAAGCTGGAACACTAGAAAGTGTCACCAAAAAATAAATTTTAACTTGTAAGTTGAAAAAAAATGTAATATGCAGTGAACTTTATTGTTTTCTGTTATAAGTGATGGCTTTTTAAATAGACATAAAAATTTAAGGAAACACCTAGATAGCAGAGAGGTGGATCAAAATTAGTACTTTTTTTCATTTTTTTAGAAAAAATACCTGAAAAATATTTGTTTTAAGGAACTCTAAGTACTTGATACTCTTTCTTAGGTTCCAGGAGTATTTATCAGAGTCTGACATACTGATTTTTATCTGCAGATTATGACCAGGAGGAAGAGGATGAGTCTTATTTGCAGCCAGATACTTCTGATATAGTGAAAGATGGTATGTGGTTTCTTTGATTTCACTCACAAAAGGCCCCATGAAAGGCCCCCAGTGAAGGCAATATTCATGTGGAATGCCAGGCTATTATTTTGTATTGGTCATTACTATTCCAGCTGGCAAAATAACTGAAGTAATGCAGAGGTATCTAATCTTGAAGAGGTATTTAGGGTCAGAAGTTTGTAATAACAGCAGTAACCATTTACAGAAAGCATTACATGCCTTTAGGGGTGTGTTTTCTTGCAAGCCTCCTGTCTGTATCAGTCATCAGTCTGGAGCAGCAGTAATGCTTTTAAGGAAAAAACAGGCTGCAAAGTGAAAAGTCTTTGCTAAGTCATCATAAGCCATGCCTGAAGAAAAATATCAGGAGTTTATTACCTGTAACTTTCATAATTATGCTGAAACTTAAATATTATCCAGCATATTGAATACTATCAGACCTGATGCCAGTGAAGTATCTTAGATCACACAGAAAATTGATTTGAGAGGTCTCTTTTGATGACATACTGTATTCCCCCGCAGTGTTTCAAGTTTTTTTGTTTTCTTTCTGTAGATATGGTCCTTCCCCCTGCGTACCCACCTCCACCTGTTCCTCACGTCAGGAAATCTCCCTTCTCAGAAGTGAGGGCACATTCCTATGCTGGCACACCAACTGCACCAGTACCACCACCACCTCCTAAGAGAAGCTTACCTGAAATCAAACTAGAGCCTCCCCCTGTGCCCCCTTTACCTGTGTTCAAAAAGCCTGCGAGTGGCAAAGGGTCTCACCCACTGCCTCCAGAGCCTCTGCCTGCACCACAAGTCCTCGCTCCTCCGGAAGCATGCGAGAAGCTAAAAAGCTTAAACCTTTCCCCACGGACTCCTCCTCCTCTGCCAGGCAATAAACCCAAGCTGTCACAGCTTGTTGAAAAGCTAGCAGAGTCCAAAGTGCCACGGGAACATGGTAAACCTGGACTGTTTGTGCCACCAGTGCTCCCAAAGCCACCTGTGCCAAGCCACCAGCCCCCTGCAGTCAAGCCTAGAACAGAGAAATCTTTATGTCACCAGTTACAGTAAGTACCAAAACACAGTGCACTATTGTTTTTCAATCAATCACTTATTAGCTAACAAGTTTAGATGTACTCAGATTCATTAGCAACATCTGTGCCTCTTCCCTGCACTATCCTTCTCTTTGTTGTGCTTTTTTTTGCCTGTTATTTGAAAATCTGCAGTGAATCTAGTTGATCTGGTTGTACTTGTTTTGTGCAGGAACTTGGACTAAATCATCTCTAGAGGTCTCTCCTTACTCAAATTAATCTGTGATTATCTAAATTAATCTGCAAGTACAGCTTCCAGCTCTGGGGCCCCCAAAACAAGAAAGATGTTGCCCTGTTGAAACTGGTTCAGAGGAGGCCACTGAGTTGATCCCAGGGCTGGAGCACCTCTCCTTTGAGGACAGGCTGACAGAGTTGGGATTGTTCACCCTGGAGAAGAGAAGGCTCTGGGGAGACCCCTAGAACACCTCCCAGTACCTAAAAGAGCTGGAGAGGAACTTTTGACATGGGCATGGAATGACAAGACAAGGGGAATGGCGTGAAACTGAAAGAGGAGAGGTGTAGGTTCAGACTAGATTTTGGGAATAAATTATTTGCTGGGAGGGTGGTGAGGCACTGGCACAGATTGCCACATAAACTGTGGATGCCCCATCCCTGGAAGGGCCACGTTGTACGGGGCTCCAAGCAGCCTGGTGTAGTGAAAGGTATCCTTGCCCATGGCAGGAGGGTTGGAATGTGATGGTCTTTAAAGTCCCTTCCACCCTAAACCATTCTAAGATTTCATGATTTGGGGGTAAACTGAAACTTCACTTCTATTTTACTATTCCTTCAATTTTGTGTATATTTGTTTTGCTTTCCTGATGAGGTATCCTTCAGTTTTCATTCTGTTTCTGCCAGGAGATCACCACCAGATGGACAAAGTTTTAGAAGTTTTTCATTTGAAAAGCCAGCACTACCCTCCAAGCCAAGCCAACCTGATGATAACTCTGATGATGATTATGAAAAAGTAAGATCAAGCAGATGATCCATTCTAAAATAATTTTCCCCCCTTGTTTATGTATACCTTTGGGAACATTTTAAATGCATTATTTCAGGACAAGGGTAACTTTCTGAAATCACAGTGCTATGTGGTTTTTTTTTTTCATTTCTTTTTGAGCTTTAGTGATTGTCTTGATAAATTATGGAGTTTAAGATTGGATATAAAGGAGAAAGAAACATAAAGATTAAATCACTGTTAATAATTTTAGATGATGGCTGCAGCTTATTTGCATAACAAGTTGCTAGGGTTTTGAGTTGTCATTGACTTAACAGTGATTTATTTTCTTTATATTTTTTACAGGTTGGGCTGCCTGTTTCGATATTTCTTAATACCTCTGAATCCTTCGAAGTTGAAAGGTAAAGTGATTTTAAAATAGTTCCTTAGAAGTACAACAAAAACTTGTACTGAACCATAGTCCAAAGATCATTTTGATAACTTGTGTTTAAAGCATGCACTAAGATGTTTAATATGCAAATCACTTTCTAGAGAAGTTAGTGCTCATATATCAATTGACAGATGAGAATGCAATGTGATTTGGCTCCATCTGGAGAAGATAGTTTTGCCAGGATGCTGGATGGGACCAGAGAGCCAGATGATCTCTGCTGCATTGCTGATTCAGGTGCTAGAACAGTGACTTTGTTTCTGCTATGATCTACTATGAATTATTACACCCAAAACAGATACTTGTAATGAGAATTTTAAGACTGTATTAATCTGCGTGCTAACAACATGTCATGCACGTGAATAATTGTAATACATGTCATTGTTTATTCTTTTTAGGATATTTAAAGCTAGTAGCCCACAAGGACAACCACAAAATGGATTGTATTGTATTAGGAACTCATCTACTAAGCCTGGAAAGGTAAGTTGCAATTTCTGAGCCTAACCTCCAAAAAGCTTACTGATTGAGACATACTGCATTTTATATACGTCAAAGCACTTAACAATTTAGATATGATCTTTTCTTAAAGCAAGAAAATATGAGAGATTCACTATCGTAATGTCAGTGATTGTAAAAAAATTTTGGCTGAATTTTAATTAATTCCTCAATAATACCTTGACTTAGAGCTTGGTAGCACAGACTGAATTTGTTGCATTTTTCTTCTTCAAGGTATTGGTTGTATGGGACGAACCTGCAGGAAAAGTGAGAAACTACAGAATCTTTGAAAAGGTCAGTAGCTGCACTATGTATGCATCTCTAGATTATTTATGTCTATGTGTATAAAATAGGAATGCATATTGTTAAATATCAGAATGAACAAGTTAAAGTCTAAATATCTGACAGTAAAAATCAGCTGACTTATAAATATCTGGTTTAGGATAAGAGTTTGAGTACTCAGATCCGGACTTTCTAATTGCTGTGTCATGTAGCATCATAAATTTCAGCCCCAGTCAAATCCTACTAAATTCCTGAGTTTAATTTGGACTTACTTGTGTGACTGACTAGTTTGCAAAGGAATAGTGAGTCCTGATGATTATGTTCTGGCCCTTTTTTCTTCAGACATTGAGCTGGAAACATTACTGTCAATGGTTACATATGTTTTTGTTCTACAACAGGATGGCAAATTTTACCTGGATTCAGACATCATGTTTTTGAACATGGGAAGTTTGGTGGAATACTACAGCACTCACATCTTACCCAGTCATGACAGCCTGATTCTCAGATGTCCTTATGGTTACTCTAAGCCAAGGTGACGTGACAGCTATGGTTCACTGACACCCCTGAGGACAGGACTCCTGCTGCTGTTGGACATCCCACTGTTTGCACACACAAATTGAGTCCGTTTCCACCATTTATTCTTACATGAATTGTTATATAAATTCCATTTAATGAACTTCTGGTAAAACCTTAAAGTCCAGATCAGCGGATTTTATGGTCCTCTACAAAGATTTGAACTGATTATGCTGTGAAAGCTGTCCAGGATACCCACACCTTTTATAAAATTGCTGCTATTACTAATCTCCTTGGAATGTCGAAGATGAACATGAACAAAGAAGTGGTCTGAATACAACTGATCTAGAAAATGAAAGTATGTCAGAATTTATTTGTGACAGGGAATACTAATACTCTGACTTGGAGGCACTACTCCTAAAGTCAGCATTGGTGCTCGACTGAGATATTTTGTATTACTTGTATAGTTGATGTGTACATTATGAAGATTTCTGTGCAAATTATTTGATTTACTATAGGTAAAGATAATCAGGAAATTAGGCTTTTTTTTTAAGCCACCTCTTACATCGTTGTACCTTCTGAGTACAGTAATCACTATCAGATACCATCTGGCTGGTATGGGTGTGGCATCCCACATACTGCCTGATGACGTGCACTTCAGGTAAATGGGGAACAATATTGATTTGGCTTTCATGGGAGCCCCATTACCAAGTTCTGAACTAGAAGGGTTTGTGCCACTGGTATTTTTTAAAGGGTATGAGAAAAGAGAAAGGGCTACTTGAGTTTTTGGGGAAGGGAGTCATTTGAATGTTCCAAATTCCAACTGGCAGTTTTATCTCACGTTGCCATAGTCAAAGGTTCTTTAAACAAAGCAGAAAAAAACACATGAAACCATGATTGTGATGCTACTATCAATCCATAAATCCTTGTGGTCACTCTTAGGAACAGGCTGTCAGCCCACTGAATTACTTTCTGTTCTAGGGCAAAACACACTACCCTAGTCTACTACCACAAATTTTTCTATTACTATAATTTCTACTTAGTTTGTAGTTGCATGCAAAACAAAATCTGTTTTTAATATACTATCAATAAAGACATTACCAGGGTGCTTGTACCATTTGTTCCCTAATACTTTGGGGACAGGTATCTTAAATCCAAAGGTTTGATGTTTATGCCAAAATTACTTTTGGAGAATAAATTTATTCTAATAATCTTTTAAGTAATTCTGTTGATCCAAAATACTGTCATAATGGTCTTGTACTCTAATAATGTTTACAGCACTTAATTACCACAGTAATAGTAGTAAAAAAAAAAAATACTGCCACTCCTGAAACAGAATGTATCTAGATTTTATCAGTCTGAATCTGTATCAATCAACTTTTTTTTTGTTACCTTTTCAAAGTTTATACATGCCTATTTTAACCTGGTTACCATTAGATGGTCACAACTTTAAAATCATAACAAAGCCATTACAGATTAAGAATTTGCTTTTTATGAAGACAATAAACCAGGATTTAGTCCCTAGGGAATTTTCCTTACTCACCAGATGGAATATGAGGATCATACACAGGACTTGAGGCAGGAAACTCTGCCTCTATCTTTTCAGAGAGACACAGACATATACAGTATCAGTCTTTTGATCTCTGTTCCTGCCATAATAGGGCTTATGTGTGTAAAGAATGTGAAGTTCTTAAAATTCAGATTCTGTTGAATATTTTAAGTCTAATTCCTTTGATTTTAAATTAGTAGCCCTGTAGTGCACTACCCTGACATGATCCTCTCTAAAGAAGGCTAAGCCAAGGCAGCATTTTAAAAACTTTTTTGGCAAATAGTTATATGTACATCAGAATATGTTCAAGTTTCTTGCAATATTCACACCTAACTGTCTGGAGAGTAAGATTTTCTCTACTTGGGAATAATTGACTTCATTGTGTCATGACACAATCATATTTATAGTTATGCTCTCTTTGGGGCCCTGTTTAGATATTTGATTGTTTTCTCAACCTTACACTCAGAAGATTTTTAAATTGTAAATATTCATTTAAACCATAACACTCTCTTTACCTGTGTAATACAAGAATTGCAAATATGTAAATTTTTGTGTTAAATCCTTTTTATATCTAAATGTATAGATTTCTGAAATGGATAAACTTTCAATGCCAATCGACCTAGTTTTGTGCAGTTGTCTTTAATTTCATGAGGGCGTGTTCTAGTGTTGGGTTGTTTTTTTTGTAGCTATGTTCTTCTAATAGTGCAGTTAGAGGAAATAATTTTCAGTGCCTCTAAGAAGCAAATATTCATGTTCTAAAAAAACTGCAGTCATTTACATTCTTTCTTCCTCTTGTTCCTACATACTAATCTAGTCTGTTTTATAACAAATCAGGTGAGTTTCTGGTGTTTGTAGGGAGGAAAAACACTAGAACACACAGCCCAGTATGTCTCCTATATTTCTCACTAATCTGCCTCTCTTCATTCCTTCACCACAAAGCAGCCTTTGCATGTACAACCTACTACAAGCTCCTTAGCTTTAAAATAGTTTGTGGGGAATTGTAAAAGCAGTATTTGATGTGCATAAAGAATGTAGTTCATGAGTTTTGTAATATCCAAGTCAAATCATTGATACTAGTTTGGAAAAAGTCTTGCCTTTTGTGACTGAACCTCCAGATAAAAGTATTACAGTTACATTTGGATGGAGATTGCAGTTCTAGGGAAAAAAATTAGTGCTTTTGAAAATAAAACAAGGGACAATCAATGGCAGCATGTCATAAAAAGTGAACCAATATCCGAGCAATTTTTCTATGACAATAAAGGTGCTTTGTGTCAGCAGTCAAGCTCCCCACCTCAGAACTTCAGTTTTCACAAGAATGTGAGTAAGTAGCAAGAGTATTTGTAGCCTTAAGTGGCTTCATCCTTTGGAACGTGCAAAAGGAAGCTAAAGATTTTGGAAGCTGAAAGTGTGATTATGTAGAATTTGGGGACATCTGCTGGTCAGCCTGTTCCACACAGGGATCCACACAACAGGAATCCAGCAGCTGAGCATATGTGTGGAAGTCATTTGGGACAAATCAATCTTAAGTGACTTGAGATAGAAGCTAGAGATCAAAGCTAACTTCAAGTGGAAACTTAATAGGCTGGGTCTTTGAAACTTAAGACTCTTTTAGCTCATCTGTCTTAAATAAGTAGCAATATTGTTTGGCAAAATTGCTCATCTGAATGTCTTCTAACCTAAAGAACAAAGAGATTAATTAATCTTCCTGCGTTTAAAGTATTCTTAATATACTTTGAGGTAGAATTTACATAAGGGACATCTGAGCACCACCTAAATTTATCCACATTGTGAAGCATTAGGCAGCTGTTCTGAACACTAAATACTTCATCTAGCAGCAAGCAAATTGCATGATGTTGCAATAGTTTCCATCTTATGAAATACTCACCTCCTTGAAGTCGAGAAGGGCTTTTTTCCCCTAATGGTGGGGATGCTTGAGATGCCCATAATTACAGACCCCTAAGTGAGAAGGCTTATAGTCCTTTTACTATACTCAAAGTACCAAAATATCAAATACCAAACAGTACTAGAACTTGAAGACAGAGCCTTTGAGCTCACTTTAAAACTGGATGGGCTGAAGTGGTTATGTTCAGTAGGTTTCAGGTATGGAGTAAACCTTGAAGCATAGCCACCTCCAAATCTTCCTTCAGGGCTCCCATTCCTGTATCTCAATTACAGGATCATCATTACTATCCCTCACTTGCACCTCCCTCCTCACAGTATCTAGTTCTCAGGAAGTTGGTAATTCAACCTCTCAGGCTGATGATGTGGTCCTGGGAGGCATGCAATCTTGGAGATATCACAGAATCGTTTTTAATGTAATTTTACTCACACATATCTCTCCTGGAGTTGGTTTGCACAGAAATGACAGTGATAAAAACCATGTGTAGGATCAGATCACTGGATATATAAAACAAGGGAAAAACATTTAACCCTTCTTTGACTTAACAACTTCTCTGCCTTTTACCTAAGACTTCATACAAGCTCCTGCTGGGTACTATCCCAGCACAGGTGGTTCTTGGACTGGCTCATGTGCACTGAAATTCTGGCCTGGAGAGCCTTTTGCATAGCTGGAGTTTTGCACCTGTACTGAAGGCCAGTGAAAGGGCCACCAGAACAGCACAAAAAACATGAGAGTCTGTCCCATGGAAAGTTATTAAAGGGTTTATTACAGGGCAAATATGGAAAGGTGCTCTAGCTGTGGCTTCACAAGCTGTCTGTTTTAGGCTTCACTGATTATGTTGTGCTTTAATTTACATTAATTTGCACTGTGCTAACATTCATGCTTTTTTATTTTTCCAAGAAAATTACAGCCACACCCTAACCATGGGAGTACTGCTGAAAATGTGCCATTTAAAAATTAAATGTGACTTTAGGGAATTAAAAATTTGATATTCTAATATTCTAAAGCTTCTCTCAAGATTAATTAACTTTCTCATGTATATAATTAAAATAGTAACTACCTTAAAATATTTTTCTTATACTTCTCAGCCCTCCTCATTAGTTTGAACTTGCCCTGAAATATTTCTCCTTTCTCTGCTTTACCCTCTTGAGTCTTGTAGTTCTAAAGTTAGTTCAGAAGTTCTATCTTCTTTTAGTGACATTTTTCCTTCTCCTACTATTAAGGATGAAGATGTCATTACAGAGCAGCTAAAAACAATTTCAGCTGCTCTAGTCACACTGGAATTGATGTAGAAGCAACTAGCAGAGAACACAGAACTAGAAGGTGGATGATAGGAAGCCATAGATGTTGCAATTAAATTAATTGGTTTTAATTAGAAAAGCATTTTGGAAAAACAATCCCTAGCCTTTACAAAGAATATTGTAACATTAAAAGAGAATGTTGCTTGCTGGAGTTCCTTTGTGAAAAGCAATCATTGCACCTTTGGTTCTGTTTAACTATAACTACTGTTAACCAGCTTGAACCATTTACATTTCAGCTAAATCACGTATAAAAATTTCCCTATGTCCCCTGAGCATAAAGTCAATATTTTTCAAACTTAAAGCCAAAGTGGCCTCTCAGATTAAGATTGTATAAAATTTGGCGACATTTAGTATTGGCCTGTTCCAGCTGCTCTGCCCTTTTGCCCACCTGCTGTTTCAGTTCTCTTAATTTTTATTTTTTTTCAGCTCAAACAAACTTCGGATGTGTTTTTGTTTGGTTGTGGAGAGAGATGAAAGTAGACCAGAGTACACTTTTTTACTCCATGTAATCTTTCTATTGAACCTACATGAAAATTCTTTCTACATGCTATTTTCAGTCCATTGGGAAAGTTCTCCTTCCTTGCATAAATGAACAAAATTCAAAAAAGAGCTCCCTCTGAAGAATAAGAATTCATGTGCTTCAGACATAACCTTACATACAGTGACCAACTTTAGTAATAATAAACTGTGAGATATTATTTCTGGTGTTGTGCACAGCTGAAAATAGGATAACCCATTACATAACTTTGAAAAAGGCATTTAAATTCAAATATTAAATTATATAATTATTGAATCATTAAATTCAATAATTTCAAAGACAAATCCCTCATGAGCTTTTCATTAGTAATGGTGCATGTGTGTAAGCTCCCTTGTCCCACTTCCAGCAGAGTCCTGGGTGCCAGTGAGAGAGACAGCACTCAGAGGGCTGTTCTTGGGGTATTTTATACAGGTAACTTGTGTTTGTCCCCACACCCCTCCCAACACTCCAACTCTGGTATGACCAGTCAGGGACTGGTTTTTACTTTGCTGACACATGGAAATTTCACTGCTAAGACTCTCCTTTTGAAGGCCCATGGGAAAAGCAACAAAGAATTCACATACTGGCATTGTTCTATTTGGAGGATCCAGAACTTTTTCTGGGAAATAGATTAGGTCTGTGTGAGATGAAGACTAACGATGACAGTAGGCAAACAAGTCCTGCCCAGTCGACAGACTGTCACGACAGACTGTGAGACAGAACGAGAGAGAAAGCTCTACCTAACTGCTACCTTACTATCAGTTCCAGTTTATAGGTGAGAAAACTGACCTGGAACTGCTTATGTGGAATAAGTGCACCCCATATAAAGGAAAAGATAAATGTCCTAATGCCAGATGTGGGACACCAACCTAGTGCTGTGCTTCTCTCAGGTAGCTGAAAGCTACCTGAGCATCAAGAAGTGTTAATGCCAGATAAAGAGGTCAGGTGCATGAAAATAATTGTACAGTAATGTTTTTCTGATATCTAGTAAAGCCACATGAAAATAATTTGTAAATTAATACATTCACATTGACTCTCTTATTTGAGACTCTATGATGTAAGCTGAGTCCACTGCTACTGCTGCTGGAGCCTGCTGAGGAGAACTATTATTTGAAAGCCAGTAACCATTCTCCAGTACATGTGCAGATGTGCATATGGCAAGTAGAAGCCTACTGGCAACAAGGTCCTTTTCCCAGAACCCTCACCAGCAGCCCAAAATCTTGAAGGAATCAAATACTGCAGGCTGAGAAACTACACTGTAGTTCATGTTGTACCTTTTGTTGTAGCTGTAATGCTGCAAACCCAGCCGGTAAGAGTTAACAAAGACAAGTTCTTCATGTCTTAAATAATGCAGAAGTGCTTTTTGAGATTGTCGTGTCTTTTTTTCTGCAGCAGAGCACACAGCTTTAGTACGTGTCAGTATTAATGAGCCCTCCCTTGAGTTTCTGCCCATGTAACCCTACCTTTGCCAATGCACCAGCACCGCTCTTCCTGCAGCTGGGTAGAGGCAGGTCAGGAACCTGGGCAGGCCAAAAACTGAACAGGGAAGATAAACACAGTCATGCATCAGCTGTCACAGTCTGAGCCTGTAGAGGGAGTTGATTGATTCAGCAGAAAGCTGGCCTCCCACCCCCAATTTTTCCTTCAGATTAGCCAGGTGAAACAGTGGCCTCATGATTATGGGAGATAATGCAAGGGGCAGGGGGAAAGCTGGAAGGGAACAGTAGGAAACTGTGCCCTTGGGCAGGTCACAAAGTAGGACAGCAGAAGAGAAAGGTAAAGGAACAGCACTCATCGGCAGCACAACAGCCAACGGGAGCTGATAAAAGGCATCCTTTGATCAGCTCAAGCTGCTCTTGTCACTGCACCCTGCAGTTACACAAACACTTTGAGCCAGCAATGCCAGAGAAAGAAATGACCCTGCCCTCCCCCAGCCCTGGGCACTGCTGCTGCCCTCAACATCCCCATCCTTCCTGCCACTGCTGGTCTTAGAGCCACATACTGAGCTGGAGAGGAAATCCATTAAGTTTGAAACAAAGCAGTATTTTTTTGCTGAGTTAGTTCTAACATAAATTCATTCTCCCATTTACTTTTCCAGACAAGAGAGAGAGCTCTGTGAGGTAAATGCCTTGGTGAGAAAGGGAAAGAAAGGAAGAAAGATGCCAAGATGGAGAATTTTGACAAGTAATCAAAGAGAAGACACTGCATGGGGCAGGTGGCTGGAGCCTGCAGGTGTAGAGGAGGGACAAGAGCACGCTGCCATGTATGTACATACATCCACTGGGTTTACAGGGTTCAGCACCAGGCAGGTGAAATTAAGTTAATCTGTCAGGTTTACAGCAACAGTTCTTACAAAAAAATGTTCAGATAAGATTTGCTAATCATTAGTAATTACACCAACACATGTCCAATTGTGGGATGGTTTTGATTAGGCAGATCTGTGTCCAGTAGGGCCTTGTCAGATGTGCTGTAATCATTCTGTGGCATCACCTGAACCACTACTTTTGGTGGCTGAATTCACAGACAAGTTTATGGATATCTCTATGGCCTGCTTTTAGGTAAGTGGAGTGTGTTTCCTCGGTGGTTGGAGCAAGCTAGATTCCTCCCATATTCCACAGGAGTTGTATATGGATCCTGAAATCCATCAGGTTCTACTCACTCTTCCCTACATATGGATAACTTGGGGATGAGGGTTGTAGACAGCAGAGGAGAAGGGTTTACTGTTTCTGAGAGCTTGTTCGCAGACCCCCAAGTCTTCATTTGTCCCGTGGCAGACAGCATTCTGTACAACACGCAGATGCGTAGAGCAGCAGAATTAAAATGACACAGAAACGATAGTAAAAATAGACAGAAAATTGGTAACAGAAGTAGTTAACTTTACAGTTGGTGCTTGCTGTGACTGTAACAAACGAGGGTTATACCAGCCACACAGCTCTCCCAAGGATTCAGATCTAAGGAGGTGATTTATAAAGCTCTCATCAGGCTGCTATGTACAAGCTGTACGATGTACCTGCACAATTCCTGAATCAAGCGCGCGGCTTCTCGCTAGCCTGGCACTTGACATCCGGAGGATATTCTACTGATTAAACACCTTCGACTGTGACAGGTGTCTCTAGCCCTCGCCAAGGCAGTTCTCAAGCCTGAGTCCTGCCCTCCTGGATCGCCCTGGCCTTGCTCTGAGCTGACAGCGATCGGACACCGCCACCGCAACGCGATAAGGAGCCCTTATCGCAGCGCGTCCTCGGCGATTAGCGATGTCTGCCTGCGCCTATCTCCCGGCCCGCTCTAAGATAAGCTTCCCAGGCGCTGCGTCGCTCCTTTCCGCTGGCATCCAGCGCCGCAAGAACCCCTTTCCCTATGTCCGAATGCTCTTCCCAGCCTGCTCCCAGCCGCCTGGGGACCCCCCGGCGCTCCTGGAGCCGCGGGACCCGCCAGGGGCGGCCCGGCCGCACCGCCCCTCGCCCCCCGCTCGCCTCCGCCAATGGAAGAGCCGCTTACTCGCCGGGCGCACGCCCTCCCGCCAATGGGCGGCGCCGTTGTTGGGTTTGCGGGCTGTGGAAGCCGCACCCTATCGGGCGGGGGCCGCTCGGTGCCTGAGGGGGCGGCGGGAGCGGCGGGAGGCGGGGACCGAGACAGCAACAGCCTCGTCAGGGGACCGGCCGCGGCGGCCCCTTCGCTCTCGCCCGTTCTCGTCTGTCCTCGGGTGAGCGCCGCGGCGGTGACGGTGCGGAGGAGGCTGAGGGGCGCAGCCAGCGGCGGGCGGGCTGTGAGGGGGAGACGGGCGCTGCGGGGAGGAGGAGGGGGCGGCAAGGAGAGGCTGGGGCGCAGACACTGGAACCGGCTCATTAAGCCAGGAGGGGAGCGGAGGAGGCTGTGTCTGCCTGGAAAACGTGGCGGGGTGTGCGGAAAAACCATCTGCGCGCAGGCTGCCTGCGGTGAGGGGCTGCGGCGGGCTTGGGGTCACCGGGGAGGCGGGGGCAGGACGAGGGGCTGCGGGTGCTGACCGGGATGGGCGGCGGGCTGAGCTGCGGGGACAGGGTGCTGCCAGCCCTGCCTCAGGAGACGCGGTGCCCATCCCGTGCCCGCCGGGATGCTCCAGCCGCCGCAGGAAGCGGCCGCTCGGCGTTGGAATCTCCATTGCACCCAAGCGCTGCGTCTGCCGGCGCTGCCCCCGCCGCCCGTCTGCTTCACCTGCCCCTTCTGCCAGCCCGAGAGGTGACCTGCGGACTGTGCGGGGCGAAATGCGGGCTTTGCAGAATCCAAGTCATCGTCCGCAGAGGACGTAGGAGTGAAGGAGGATTTGGGATGTATGTGTGCGGTGTTGGGGATTGGCGGGGCACCAGCAGCAGAAGGGCAGTTGTTTTGTTTCCTCTGCTAGAAGGGGTATCTACGTTTTAGCGTTTCTAGGGTCTGCTTTTGAGACAAAATGTCACATGCCTTTCTGCACGTAATTGTTGCACACTCGCTGTGCTGCTTTTAGGGTTGATTCTTAATCTACGTTGGCTTTAGATAAAACTAGCAATTAGGGAGGGGGAAAATCCAGTCAAGCTGGAAAAATATCCATGGCTGTGTTGAGATGGGGGCTAGGAATAGCACTGCGTTTACATCTTTCATGAGATACTGCCGTAACTCTGTGGTGTAAGCTCATTGCTGGTTTTATTCTTTGCTTTTTGGAAAGTTGCTGTAGATCACAACATTATCGTATACCAAAGGTATTCAGTTTTTATACAGAGCTTTCCAAAACATGTCTACCTTGAGCTTATGAATTCTCAAACTGCAACTGCTGCTGGATAATTTTTCTATGTTCTGCTGAAAGCTACAGGTATCTCCCTGCAGACAGCCTGTTTACGGCGCTGGTTCTTTTAACGTGACCATATGTGCCAATGGAGTTCTTGACAGCCCTTAACTGTTACAAATTTGGTTTTTGGTTTTGTTTTTGGTTTTGGTTGTGTTTTTTGTTGTTGTTGTTGTTGTTTTTAATAGAGCAAAAGAATTTATTTTAAAGGCATAGAAACTATTTCTAAGATAGGCTTCCATTTTTCTTAATTAAAATAATGGTGTAACAATTCTCTTTCTCAGTAAGGAAATATTAAGAGCACTTGTGTAATAAGCAACTATGGACTAGACTTCTGAGATAGGTGCTTTTGGTATTTCTTTATATTCAGTAAACGGATTTGATGCCATCAAGTTCAATATAATCTTGAGTGAATGTAATGATCTATATGATTTCCCTCAGAGAATTTAAACTTATGATGGCTTAAAATTTAAATTTATGGTGGTTTCTGAGAAGAGTTTTGAGGAAGAGGCATTCACAAGTTCTTACATCTTCACTGTAGCAAAATAATACATGCATTACTGTGTTTGCGTGTTTCAGTGCCTTGTAGTTTTACTGGAGTTCTGTTTTCTGTATGAAATTCCATGCTGAGAATAGTGCTTTTTAGCCAAAAGCTGTTGTGTTGACTGAATCTGTTTTTTCTATGGTTGATGATTATAAGTGGGAAAAATCTGAATGTGCTTCACCTGAAGCAAGTATTTTTGCTGGCATGTTGTGCCAATAAATTCATTAGAGCATGGTTCACTAATGCTGTGGAGTGAAGAAGGTCATTTACTGAATCAGTATTTTTCTGTGACAGTTTTTTTAGATGTTTCCAACAGAAAATGACTCAACTCTTCTCATTCTTTGAGATTCACCATCAATATTTAATGTTATTTTGCATGTATGGATGGGCCTCTGAGCAACTCGGTCTAGTGGCAGATGCCTGTGGCAGGGGGGCATGGAACTAGATTATCTTTAAGGACCCTTCCAACCCAAACCAGTGTGGGATTCCGTGTATGGAATTGGATCATCTGGTGACATCAGGCAGAGAAAACCCCTCTGAACCCTGAGAGACTTTGACAGAAGTAGGGCTAAAGCTACTTCTGCCCCAAGTCTTGGTTTTTGAAGTGTAGTTTCACAGCATGAACTGCCTTTAGCAAATCTCATCCAACATTCTGTGACTTGGTATAGGAGGAAAAAAAATGAATTTTGGAATAGCCCATTTTTTAATAAATAGAATAAAATAATAGGACTGAAAGTTTCAAACTAGGAGAAGTTTGCTTAGCATGTTGATTGTTGCTATGCATACAACTTCTATGTGACAAGTGCTTCCTGAGGAGCCTAGGCTGTAGATCTTATACCCACTGCTTTTCTGACTGGTAGAAATACCTTTCTTAATTATTAAGGAGTTGTAGCAGTGGTGAATAGTGTTGCTGTGCAAATGAGCCAGTCCTGCTTTGAGGGAAAAATGCATATTAATAAAACTTGCCCACTACTTCAATGAAGTAGAGTGTATCAGTGTTGCTTTTGCTGTGCAGTGGAGACACCTGAGGCATGAGGGCATGAAGAAAAAGCCATGCTGATTTTCTGACTTTGATGTCTCCTAAATTAGAACTTACTCTTAGACCATGCTGCACCACAGAAAGTGATCTGTGAAATAGCACTGTATCAGTAATTTAGACTGCAACTAAATATTTCTTAGGCAGTTTTAGGGTGGTATGTGCTTTATATTTGAAAAGTGATTGAAAAGATTGAGCAGATGTGAATTTTAAGATGTGCTAGTTTACTCTGCTGTTCCATTGTACAGGTCATTTGACATCTGCTGAAGAACCTGTCTGAAGCTCTTCTGTAAAGTTATACATCTTCTATAGTAACAGATTCAAAAGCAGATGTTTTAAAAATAGTAGAAGTCCCTAGATTACTTAAGTTAGGCAATTTTCATTCATATAATTTAATCAGCCTCCTCAGGGGAATAGGAAAATATTACCTAGTCTTGGTACTTATTCAGCATTTCTCTTCCAAAATATTCTGGTTTTGTAGGACTGAGAGCAGTAGCTGTACAAACCTGTCAGTAGAGAAAGGTATAAAATGTAAAGCATGTGAACCAGTTTCTGTCCTGAGGAAAGCTTTTCATTAGAGGTAGTAATGCTTAAAAAGTACTGGTTATACAGATTTTGATCTGTAGTAATTTTTACTTTAAAATAACCCTTTTCTATGGCTACCTTGTCTTTCACTTTAAAGTATCAGGTATACAATAACAGGGTTCTGTAGGAATGTGTGATGACATCTGTCACCATCTCAGTAAAGCATCTGTTGTTTATTGAGAATTATCTTGATAATCTTTAGTCAAATTGTAAGTAGTTTGACTAAAATTAACCTGACTAAATTGCCTAAATTTGAAGCAAGTAATTGGTTTCTTTCCTCAGCAGCAGTGGATGTTGTTTACTGTGGTCTTGTCAGTTCAGAAAGTTTAGTGGTTGATCGTTGCAAATGTTGTAGGGGAAGAGACTCCAGGAAACGCCCTTTTCAGAAGTTCTGCTTTTCAAATCAGGTGTGAGCTGAGATGGTGTCATTTGCCATGAGGACTCAGGTCTAACATCCCAACCAACGGTCCTGGCCTTGAATAAGTTTAAGTATTGCTGATACTCTGGGGATTTCCCAAGTCTAACTGTTCTTCACTTCAGGGCAAGTAAAGGTTTAGTGCACAGATGGATTTGAATAACTACCACCCGTCAGGCTGGCTGACCAGTGTGTGCATGCTGCTGCTGCTGCATTGACTCTGACCTTTCAGAGAAACTGAAAATGTTGTCCTTGAAGGTGTAGCCAAACAGGAGTAACAACTTGTTCAGTCCCTTCCTAACTTCCTCCCTTTGACCTTGCTTATTAGATTGCATTCTGAAGAATGATCTCTGCCTGCTCTGCTGGGTTCAGTTTTTATCCAGTGAAAGATTAGCCTTTCAAACTCAGATCAGTTGCTCTAACAAGTGGAACATCAAAAGAGTTTTTCACTGTCACTTATTTGAATGGTTTTCCCTGCCGATTAATGAAAAATTAGCATAGATGAAAGCAAATATCAATTCAGTTTTAAAGCTGATATTATGAGCTACGCTTTTAAACTGGGATTCGGCGCATGTGTGCTCTTCAGACTAATCAAAAATTCCTTTGCATTTTCAATTGACTAATATAGTGGGTTTTGTCCTTTTTTAATTACTGATTTTTGTACCATATGTTGCGTATTATTTTCAGATCTAGACTCAGGAAATCTGAAAAAATAAGGAGTAAAATATTTCAGAGTTTTGAGATTTTGTTTTTCTTTCATACACCTAATTGAAATGCTGTAAAGGAGTCATGGTAATAAATGCAGTTAATCAGTAACAGTTTATGGTATTTTTGATACTTTCAAATCAAATGAGTAGATGAATGTTGTGATACAATTATGTTCTGAAGACAAGGGGCAAAAAAAAGTCCAGGTTTTTGGTTGGAATCGGTAAACGTGTAAAAGCAATTTTGGATTAAAAACTGTAATTTTACTTGGAGCCATAGAAACTTAGTTTTTTTGGATGTTGTTTTTGATTTGTTTGTACAAATTTCAAATGTGTCGTATTGTTTTCTATGCTTTTTATTTCTATCTTGTTTTTGATCTTGAATCTTGAGAGGTCTGATACACTATTTCAGTTCTATTATAGATTTTCCCAGATTAAACCAAAAAGTGTTGAGCAAAACCTTGACCCATGAAAACTGTCTCCTCTGTTGGCTCTTTTGTGTTGATGTTGTTGGGGTTTTTTTTTGTTTTGGTGCTGTTTTGTGTGTGTGTTACAAATGACTGAGCATAAAGTCACCGTTGGTGCATTGTGACTGTGGAGATGACGGATAAAGCACACCCCGAG